TGCCTACAGCGATGTGGCTCAGGAACAGAGGAACGGACGAGATAGATCCGAAGTGCGTAAGATGTGATTGGCTGTACGAGGAAGTGAAGAATCTGTGGTGGGATTGTCCCAAGTCGCAGAAGTGGTGGAAGTGGTGGAAGTGGTGGCTGTTCAACTGGAAGGAGATCACAGGGAGGAACAAGTGCACAGATGAAAGATGGGTACTGTCGGGTGTGCTGCCAGAGGGGTACAGGAGCAAAGAGGGGTGGGGTTACATGGCACAGGTCACAAGGGCAATAATGATGTGGCTAATCTGAAAGGACAGAAACGCCAAAAGATTCGACAAGGAAGAAGTTTCGGACACGCAAGCCTATCAGCTGTTCAAGCACCTCCTCGCGAACGAGATCAGGGCAGACTGGCAGCACACTAGGAAAAAGAAGGGTAAAGGAAAAGGGATGAACTGGTTTCTGAAGACTTGGGCAATAGGAGCGTGCTTTCCAACAGTCACACCAGAGGGCAAAATTGTATTCTCCCAGTGGTTAGTTCAGTAGGGTAAGACAACTGACAGTACAGGGAATCGGGACTTGAGGGTAGTTTTATTGCAGTATTAGCTTAGAATCAGGGCACTGGGCTCCGGTGGGTAGTCACAGCTGGCTACATGGGAATGAATGGGTAGGTGAGTGTCCGGGGAATACCAGGTCCACTCGGCTGTGCATTTGACTGGGCCACAGTAGGCCCAACAGAGGTGGAGGGTGGAGAGTGGCATGATACGAAGGAACAAGAATATTCCAACTGGCCGCATAGGCCGGAGTCCGGACCACTAGGCCTTCAAGCAGTGGGAGGAGAATTGTATCTTTGACCGCGTGCCTGTTGAAGAATGAGCCGGCGACTCATAGGCAGTGGCTTGGTTAAGGGAAATTATCCNGTGCCTGTTGAAGAATGAGCCGGCGACTCATAGGCAGTGGCTTGGTTAAGGGAAATTATCCACCGGAGCCATAGCGAAAGCAAGTCTTTTTAGGGCTATTGTCACTGTCTATGGACCCGAACCCAGGTGATCTAATAGGTCTGTGTAACGTAGCAGTATAGGACTTAGCTAGAAGCAGCAGTAGAATAGGAAGTAGAATAGAGGAGGATTTCTTGAGTATTGCAGATTAAAGAGAATTGATTCAAGCTAAGCTAAACCGGCTGATGCTGCCGGGATAACTCCGGGTTGAATTGTGAGGACCCCGGCCTCCATGATTTGGAATTTTATTGAATGTGTCTTCCGTAAAAAAAATAAAAAAATTATCACGAGCCTCTGTCTTTGGCGTGCATGTTCATGAGCATATGACGACACACATACAAATTGGACCGCCCCGTTCTCAGAGCATATTCACACTGGGGCCTTTTTGGACGTATCTAACCGCAATTACGGCACGCGTTTTTGGACGTATGAGTCGGTATGACACGGCGTATGTGACCACAACTACAGTATAAGCCCTCAAGCTGGCGGTGCGCGAACATGAAATATAGGAGCGAATCTCCGTGATGACATCATGCACATGAATATCCAAATATCTAAATACGTCAAAGACCCAAATATTCCGAAAAAGAGGGAGCCCGGGGGGTGAAGCACTCCAAATATAGCACTGCGCCACTGACCTGATCTCACCTGATCTCACCTGACCTCGCCTGATCTCACCTGACCTGACCTGATCTCACCAGATCTCACCTAACCTGACCTCACCTGACCTCACCTGACCTCACCTGACCTCACCTGACCTCCTGACCGGACCGGACCTGACCTGACCTGACCTCCTGACCGAACTTGACCTGACCTGACCTGACCTGACTTAGAGTCTGCTTTATCTAGCATTAGTCCGTTGGAAAAGCCAGATGCGCCAAAATCTTCCTCTAGAGATTGGGGAAACGAAACCACAGCTGCTATGTAAGAACACGTGGCACTATAGAAAAAGAACACGTGGCACTCTGAAAAGACACGTAAGAGGCCATCACAAACAGTTATTCCGTATAATATACTTTTGTTTCTCGATTATCATCTTTCCTAAGCGAACAGTGTACAGGCACGGAGGATCGAAATGAAATGTGAGCGAGCAGGAGAGAGTGAAATTGAATCAGAGAGGAAGAGGAGACACTGCGGTCAGAAAAGGATTAGCCTTCATAAAAATAAGAATAAAAAAAAAAAAAAGAGAGGTGAATGTGTAGGGAACAAATAAACCTAAGGCGAGAAGGTAAGAAGAGGGCGAGGAGGATTTCTTTTTTTCTTTTCTTTTTTAAAAGCTATATTTTTTCTCTCAATTTCACCTCACACGGGGTTTTCCCCGTATGCCTACAATTAGGAGTAGTGGTAGGCGAGGAGGAGTTCGGGTACACGTAGGAAACGAAAAAGAGAATGATAATTGAAAAAACAAATAAAATATGAAGGCCGGGATGGAAAGCCCCTACAGAGACGGCGAGAAAATGAGAGAGAGAGAGAGAGAAGGGGGGGGGGGGGGGGGGGGGGGGGGGGGGG